AGTTATAAAAGACATAAAAAATATATTTTGAAGATATAGAAAAAAATATGTTGCAAAAGAGAGATTTGAAACTGTCATCAAGATTGAAATAATATAATTAGAGGATAAAATTGTAATTTTGAGATATATTATATTTTCTTTAGTTGTGATGCCGCGTTTATGTTATAACATTAATAAAGTTATGAGTTGAATTAAATTATAATTGGTTGAGTTGTGAATTAATTCATTATGTATCTTTCTTTCTTTCAATTTCATTTTTAAAATAGGGGACATGATAAAAATTATGAAAAAATGTTCCCACAAATTTTTATTAGATTCCTTACGCTATATACTTTAGGATGGAAGGTTGTGTGGGATCTATAAAATAAACATAGATCTGCTCATGATTCCAATAAAATCTTTTTGCTAGAATTAGATTCCTTGTGGCATATTTTTCTTACATAGATCCGAAAATTCATACTAAGAAAAAACAAAAAATGGATGTAAATATACAACTATCACCAATATTAACTATGTGAATTAAAAGGAGAAATAAATGAGCTGTATGTGAAATATTATTCAACTAACACATAAATTCAATGAGTATGAAAATGAGTTAGTTGCTTAATATTTCTCTCAAACATTGGGAAAAAATTCTAAACCTTTTAATCTAATAATCAGTATAAAAGTACATTTTTTTTATTAAATATATTATTATTATAAATATATAAATAAATAATATAAAATTTTATTTTATCTTATGTGATTATATTAGTTGTTGTCTAATAAATAAGATATTTTGATAACAACGTCATTATATGAAACACGTACAAAAAAATGATGCAATACGTATAAATGTGCTAGAATTTGTTTAATAAATAAAGTATTATTTATCAATAGAAATAAAAACTAATAAAATAATAGTAATGGAATTGAAAAAAGAAAACGTCTGAATTTTCTTAGACAAGTATGAATACCAATATTTAGAAACAAAAAATCTTTTAAAAATAATACTTTATTTGTTGCTAGCGTTTAAATATATGGAATCTGTAAGAAATTGGATCTCATAAATAATGATCCTATATTATCAATTTTTTATTTTACATAATTAAAAATTTAAAACTTTATAATACATAATGTAGATTTTAATAATAATTTCGTAATAATAACGTTCAAAGATGACTAAGAGTCATAAAACAAAATTTTAATTCTTCTTATCTCAAATATTTTAACAAATGATATGCTTCTCAATGTTGTCTCATTGTTTTGTTTTGTTTGATTTTGTCATTGGTGAAGAATCAAGAAAGAAACTTTATCTCGAGTTTTTTTTTAGTATTATGTATGATGCATGAAGTTGGACGATAAAAGCATTAAAAAGTTATTGGACACATAAATATTACAAATCCAAACGAATGTGAAAGATATGAAGATAAATAATTCTAAAATCATTGCAAGAACTAGATGGTCAATGATTTGCAAACAATAGATTATATAGTCGTCTATCTTCCAAATAAATGACATTGAAAATGAAACGTTCGAGCCTGATCAAAACATTTTTGAATGTTTGAATGAAGTTGACACTTCTTATAGGAATATTTATAATTTCATTGGTGTATTGTGCTTGAATATATGTGCAATTATTTTATAATATGAACTTTTAGTTAATGTGTGATGATTTAAAAAAAAATCTCGGGAAAAGTACATGTAATAGATATTTTGAATAGTCAACTTTTATTTAGAGATGAAATTCATTCCCTTCCCTAAGGAGATACATCCATGGGGTAGGTATCAATAATTTGTCGATATATATAGAGAGAGTAATTTAATAGTTTATACAATGATAAAAAATAATCAACAATTTTAATGACACGATTTATTATTTTGCAGATATATTCATGCATGGTTAGTAGAAATATAAAGATAATACAACCATGAAGTTTCACTATATGATTAGAATATTTCTTAAGTGTTTGAATAAAGTAGACGTTTTGCCAAATGAATTAAGATGAATTTTGCAATACTATTGAATCAATAATGCTTCTTATGAGGACGTCAAAACCAAAATGAAAGAGAATGCTATTGAAGAACTAATGCATGTATAATATATATATTAGTCATTATTTAGTTATTTAGTATTTTAGTTGGGGTTGTAATATGTTATTTAATTATTTTTATATTAGAACATCGTTAAGTTATTTTAGAAAAAATAATTTGTTTCTATATTTTGTTTCATTAATTTGTTCTACATTTTGTTTCATTCTTGCAAGGATATATTTAATAAATTAATTTGTTCTACATTTTGTTTCATTCTTGCAAGGATATATTTCATAAATTAATTTGTTTATTTTACAAAACTTAATCGGCAAAAAACGATTACATTATGAGCTCATTTGTTCTACGTTTTATTTCATTCTTGCAACGATATTTTTAATAAATTAATTAATTTATTTTACTAAACTTAATTGAGAAAAAACATTCGCCACCACGTGCATCGCACGTGCACTTTACTAGTTTAGAGAAAATACAGCTAATAATTATCTAATAAACAAAGTTATTACTTAGGCCAAGCATGGTTTACATTTTGTATTGTCCCCAAAGTCATAAATGCAAAAGAAATTAACATGTACAATTTTATACCAAAACGGGTTAAACAAAGTTTTTCCTTTTTTTTTCTCTTTCTAATTCCGAATGATTTTATTATGTGAAGTCACACATCAATAAAGTGATAAGCATTAGCACATGAACATCCGAAACACTTATTTGAGCAAGCTTAAGCACACTGAATTTAACAAACAAAATAATAAATATCATGAGTTAAGAACATTATCCATAAATTTTAGTAAGGTATGCTTACCAAGGGTATCATACAGAGGAACGCAAATAAAGCTGTTGGCGTTGCAGGCCTGGAAAAAGTTAAATAAATAAATTGATTTTATTATCTTCATAAATAAGTTAATGTTGATACTTCTAGTACTACAACACAAAGAAGAAGATGAGGTTTTTTCAACTCTTTTCTAGGGACCAAAAAAAGAAGGAAAAAGAAAAGAAAAGAATAGGAATGCACAACAAAACAGAATAAAAAACCATCTGAACTGACCTCCATTGCAACAATCCACTGAGGACAATTTGATCCATAAATTCCAACTCGAGCACCCTATAAGACAAGCTATCAGAAACCAATCTCAAATATATTTGATGTCATTGTGATTTGTGAACTTGTTCTTGTATTGTGAAGCTTATGAACAACCATTAATGCTAAGATAGATATATGTAGAATAACATGTATTCATTTCTTACAGGTTCAAAACCATGTTTCCGCAAGGCGGAACCAGCTTGTAGAGTCTCTTGGTACGCTTCCTTGTAAGTTTTCCAAACATAAGGTCCCCACTAAAAAAAAGGTGGTAAATTAGGAAAAAATAATGATCAGAAAATCAAAATTTAGCTGCAGTAACATGCAAAAACACCAAATATCCAGCAAATAGGATAACAATAGTAGGATCAAACGAATCCTTTACTTTATACCTTTCCATTGACAAACTCACGCCATCCGAGCATCCTATTTCCAGAATGTTTTTCTACTGACTCTCTGCCCCGAAAAAAAGTTCACATTTTAGTAAACCAAACAAACATCTCACATGATAATCATAAACTACGCAGATAAAGGGATGGCTAACTAGTGAATGTTTAAGGATTAAGACTTTACTTAAAAATTTCTGTCATCATATATATGAGCTATAACCTGAAAATATCCCAACAAGTGGATATGTTAGGATCAATGGGAGGATAAGCATGTTCTGCCAGTAGATTACGATAAACGGGACCAACAGATGGTTGCCCATCTCGACCTTTCTTTCCTTCTTCTACCTTAACAGCAAATTTCTCCATTTTCTGCAGAAATACCTCAGTAAAGAAAAGGAAAAAGAAGAGTGCCTCAGCAAAATGAGAGTCAAATTATTGCGCTACAAAGCAAATTTCAAGAATTCGTTGAGCTGAAAACTAAGATACAGAGCCAAGCCTGACCCACAACTTAAATGCGGGCGGGACTATGAGATATATATGCCGTGCTTACAATTTTCATAAAATACTATTCCATTAATGAGTCTGGAATATGAAAATGAAACAGTGCCGGCCAACCCACAAAGGGTCCAAGCTTAAATTATATTGCGTTGAAGCTTTCAAGTCAAACTGTTTGATGATATGTCAAAATGAGAGTTTGATGCCATCAGTCATCAAAGAACAGTGTGAGAAAAGAAAGAAAAGGGGCACCGGTCAATTTTGACAATCAACGCTGACTTACATGCAGAAACATATAAATTAGAGTGAAGTAGGTAATCAACCAAAGACAAAGCAATATGAACAAAACGAAAACAAAGACTGAAGAAATTTCTTTGCCCGACTGCAAAAAAGGAAAGCCCAGAAAGGAAAAAGTGAAATTTCAGACCTGAAACAAGCGTAAAAATCCAATCTTGCGCGTTGGCCGTAAAAAGGGGTTGCTATGTTGTTGAAGAAGAAGGTGGTGGGCAAAGGGGAAAATGGGGGTTTGCATAGGCAGTGAATAGCAAAAATACATGGGTGTGATGGAAAATAAATATGATGACAGTCATTGCAATTTGGTGAGGGTAGTTGGAATAGCTCTCCTCGAACGAACTTTTCTTTAAATGCAGAGGTGCTTCAGTGAAAACTTGGAGATGATGACACTCGTTTTTAGATCATCAGTTAAAAAGGAAAAAAAAAAAACACATGGGAAAAATACTGTTTTGATACCTTAAATTTACATACTTTTCACTTTTAGTACTTATACTTTTATTTAATTCATTTTGGCACCATTAAAATTTCGTAAAATTCAGAAAACTATTAAATTTTGTCTTCCTGATTAAAAAAAACATTTTAAAGACATTTGAGTTAAGGGTATGGAAAAATGTCATTTAACAAAAAAAACTAACATTACCACTAAAAATAGTATTTTCGCAAAAAGAATATTAAAAGGTTGTCCTTCTGCAAAATATTGTGTATATTACAATTGCATGCATAATTAGCACGCCACCACTGATTACTGAAATAATTATTTATATAGAAATTTGAGCTTAATATAATATAAATAAGTTTGATCACATAAACTTTGAATTTTCCATTTTTCTTGAAGTGAAATGTTACAAAACTAGGAGGACCAGGGAGAGATTCTTCTGCATGGCAGGGTCCAGGAAAATAAAATGTTTGTTCTTTCCTGCTTTGTATTTGATTTGACAGAACTTACATGTCATAGTTACCATCGAATTGTATATATAATATAATTATAAGTACTTTTTTTTTCTCTTGCAAATTAAAAATTTAAGTTCTAGATAAAATATTGGTAAAAGTGTGTGTATGCATAAGAAATTGAAACTGAATTAGACTGATTTCTTACATTTTAGTCAATAGGTTTGTTTTTATGTATAATGTATTAGTTATATAGGTTTCATAAGAAAATATATGTACTAAAGAACATTATATAAAATAAGATGTCATTAAAAGTTATTTATGAAATATAATGAATATTATTTTATTTTTAAATATGATACTCTCATGTGTGTGTGTGTGAGAGAGAGATCAAATATGATATTTGATACTATCTTAAAGTTTTTTGATACGCTGTCTAGGTACCTAATATCTATTATCAGTTTAGCCATATATCATTTATGTTAAAAATGGTCAGTTTATTTTTTTCTTTATATCATAGTACTCATTCAAAATAGTTTTCATATAATATATTTGGAGTTTGTTTTATAATATATTTGGTATTTTTCAATTAGAATTAACTTGTAATTCAAATTTTATTTATACAAATTACTATTCATGTCTAAAACATAATTAGAAACTATATCTATAGTACTTGAAATAAGAAAAAAATAAAAAATAAAATCAAATAAATAGAAATGATTGAGTCGAATTAATTAAAAATAATTTAAAACTAAATGTTAGTTACAGAATTTATCATGCCTATTGAGTAAGGAAACCACCAAAATAAGTAATGTGTCAGCAAAAATATGTGAGACAAATTCTTAAACTAAGAGTTCTGTATCAATAAAGATATAAAAATATATGCATAATATTTGATAATATAATTTTTAATTTCAACATCATTTCTGATTTACGATTGGGATTGAAATTTGAAAAACGGCGATTTAAAATGTAGCTAATAGTCCTCTTTATTGAAACAGTTGTTACCAAGCTCCCATCTTTATGGACCACCCGTAAGGATCATATTAAAGACTTTTCAGAATTGTATCTAATTTCTCATTTTTATTGCACCTAATGCAGCCATAGCCCACATTTTAACTAATGAGACTTAAATTACTCACTAATGAGAGAGCCCAGTTAAAAATTTCACTTGGATTTAGTTTTATCATTTTGTAATTCATTAGTCATTACTTTCATTATTTTGATTCATTGAACCTCAATAGATAGAATGGCCCAATGCTCCTTTACAAATGACTATGATAAGAAATTCAAAAGAAACCCAATTGGCTCCCAAAAATTAATTAAAATCTTGCCCAATTGGCCTAGTTGGTAGGTGTAGAACTTCATATAGCAACCAAGTAGATTTTATTTTTTTCTTTTTTGTTCTCATAGGAAATGTGAGTGTAATAAATATATACTTCAAAAATTTGATGGTTTGTGTTTGTTTATTAAAAAACTCAATTAATACTCAAATCTATCTCAACTTTATTCTACCCAACTATCCTTAATATTAGCAATATAATTAGATAATATCAACTAAATTATTGTTACAATACATCACATCAACTTTAATTCACTCACATTATTTTAACTAATAATTAATCCACATCATCCCTCTCTACTTCCGCATCAAATTAACTCTAATTATTTTATTTTAAATATTATTTTAATACAAACTCATAATCTCACTAACACCATATTATATTTTTCAAAATTAACCTTGGTTAACAAAAAAACTCATTTTGAACGGATATATTTATATACTAAAGGAACAAGATTTTATTTCATTCACACATTACATATTTCAAAGCTTTCTACTTTGTAATGAAGAAAAGTTGTGAAATGTGCCTACAATTAGTAGATGAACAGTTCTGTAACGTTGATATCATTTTCAATATACTTTTAAAACTTAGGTGATATGAGTTGAACCACATGCTCAATTTCTCTACGATCCAAACAATTCATAAACTATACTAAACGGGATCATATTAATGGTGATGTCTCATCCTTCACCAACTTAATGAATGGAGGATATTATTATTAACTTTTTTTCACCATGATGAATGAGTTTTTATGACCGCACGTGAACTTTTCACCATTGAGGGATGTGAATGGTTAGGTGAGTTCAAATGTTCAATCAATCTGCATTCAATTCTACCTCACAAAAGAATGTACGTAACAGAAAAGAGTTTCACAAAAGAATGTACGTAACAGATGCATCTGTTGGTATATGTGTCCTAGAGACAATCTTTTTGAAGACATATATACAGGATCACAGTAATAATTATATTGGATTATAATTATGGTATTGCAATTAATTAAATAATTGTTTGATTGTTTGCAATTTATTAATTAATTGCTCCCTTGAGTCGATACTGTCATTAACAGAGTGAGATGTTAATTGATAAAGTATAACTCTAAAATCGCCTAAATCGATGATCATTAAGAAAGGGATATTAATGATACGCGATAGATTGACATGTGGTCTGCATCACATTCTTGGAGAATATAGTATGTCTCACTGCTATGAATAATTGTTATTCGTGATGGACACATGGATACTTTGGAGAGTATTGGCATACCCTACCGAGAAACCATTTGTTTATGTGTCTATGGGAGTATCGGTGTGTGGAATGGTGTAATAGTCCTTTGACTTGAGGTCAATACGCAATTCATGTATAGAGTGATTTACTTAGACCTAGTCCAAAGCTTACGCCCTTTTGGGTAGATACGGGCTTGTGTTGGGTAGATCATGATATACATGGAATTGGTAGTTGAGCCAAGATAGGATTCATTCCTCGAATATAGTTTCGAGAGAACACTCGTTTTCTCTCTACTGGGTTGATAAAGTCATTGGCCAATGCACGTGATTATATTTGAAATGGTGTTCAAATATAATTGATAAAATCAACCAGTGAGATGAGATAAAATGATTAAGCTGTTTGGATAGACACACGTTCAAATCTTAAGCTTAATCGAGTGGGTCGTGAATGAAGGGACCGTATCACTATTGAATTCCACATCAAAGGTTTGTTTGCTTTGTCTATGTAAACGTACTTCATATTTTGAGTTCGTCCTTCGACGCAGTCTAGGAGTTTCGTGAGGATCATAAATCGGATTTATGTCAATATATGAAGGCCTATAGGGTCACACAATATGCAATCCATTTTCCGTCTAAGAGTGAATCGAGAGTGTTAAATATTCAATTAGATTGGAATATTTAATTTTAATAATTAGATTATTTTCTATTCGATAGAAAATATATAATTAAGTTTAATTGGACTTAGACTTAATTATATCATTAATTGGATTAGGTCCAATTGCCTATTGGGCTATAGGTTATCCTAAAGCCCATATAATTAGGTTTAGCCTAATTATAAATAGGCGGTTATCTCATTTCAGATGCAGAGATCAGATTTTTGAGATACGCCGTAAAAACACAAAAACTCTCTTTGTTTTCTGACTGAGGATTCCTAGCGTCTTCACCGGAAAGGATTCACTGCGTTGGATCTGCATCGGAATCTGGATTGCGTGGATACCATAGTTGAAGACAAAGCTTAAACTGTAAGTTTTCGTTGATTATTCACGCGATCTAGGATCGTATCGAATAGTTATAGCCGGATCTTCATTGTTGGTAAGAAAATTTTACAATTCCGCTGCGCATACGATTGATCGTACGTCTAAAATCCAACAGCATCTGCATTTTATAGAAAATTAAACCTTGGCACAATGCCAACCAATTAGACAAGTCGAATTGTCATACTTTTGCAATAAACATGCATTAATTTATAAAATTTTATATTTTTGCTTACGTTGTTTTTTAAAGTGACGATGCAATTTGAAAATATGTAGCGGTCGAAAAAATATGAATGTATGACCGTTGAAATTTGTCTAGCAGTAGAATTAATTAGTATTATTTAATATATCGATTGCCTATCAAACTGAGTGCTCTCTTACTAACTATAAACAATTTTATCTGGGGACGAGTTACATATCTAAGCTAGTTGTGTAAGTTATAGCTCCACTTTCAAGTTGAGCTTATAAACAAGAGACTGGAAAATAAAAATATTTGATAAACCTCACTTAAAAACTAGCTAACAACTCATTAGTGAATTTCAAACTCATAGCTAATAGTCTATTATGAAAAAACTAGCTAATATAATAATAGTATTTGATAAAATTAAGTAAAAATTCAGCTTAATAAAAATTTCAACAAAGTTTTTTGACAAATTATCTATTCAAGTTTACGAGATAAGCTCCAGCTTTTTGAAAAAACACCTTCCTACCAAAAAACATTATTTAAACACGAAAAGTTTATAAACTAACTAAAGTATGCGAGGAAACAAATTTGATGTTATTAAAAATCTATATATATATAATTGCTAGCTAACCTCATTTAATAAAACATTTAATAAAAATATTTTCATTTTCCCTCCAAAAGAAGTTACATTTTTTTTAATTATTTACTCATGAATCTCACATTTAAGAAGGTTTTTTTTAGTTAAACTTAATTAGTTAATGACTAAATTAAAAAAATTTCTTTTAGTTAATCCTACATTTATGTTTCTTATTCTCATTTATATATATAAACGTGATAGTCATTATTGTTGTGCAGAAACTATATATTATTATTTTTTATTTCATTATGAATTGAATAAGCAATTAAAGTTATAAGAAATATTAACAAATGTATTAATTACAAACATTATAATACATATCATGTTACATTACAATATAAAAAATGAAATTATTTTTTTTGTAATTTAATTTCCAGCCATACTCAATCAAACATATAACTACAAAATGATAAGAAAAATTAGTTTCATAATTAAAATTAAAAATTTAGCTCCCAAAATGGTAAAACGTTATAAATTAGTAGTATAGATACATTTAAATGACATATAATTTATAAACTTAGACTATAAGCATAATAAGTTGAATTGAAAAAAAAAATTAATGAATTAAATAAATAAATTATTATTATAACACAGTCTATATAATTATTATAGCAAAGTCTATATTGTCAATATTATCATTTAAAAAGTTCATTGAAAAAACATATGTATAAAAAAAATCTATATGATCATAATTAATAGTGCAAAATTAATTATCTTTGACTTTCTATTTGGTAGTAATAATAAAATATCTTATATTACTACTATTCAATAAAATGCATGATTTATGCATATTTGATTATCGCAATCAACATTCTTTTTTTTTATAAATTAAAAAGTGTGTTGAATAAATTGTCTCATATTTTTCATTAAAAAAAAATAACTGTTGGCCGTGAAAAAAAAATATTATTTCACAATTATAAATATAAATATGATTAAATTTCATTAAACAATTTCTCTTTAAGAAAAAAGTGGCGGGACAAATTTCTGCATGATTATAGCATCAAAACATATCCAAAACATCAATATTTTAATGCATTAAAAACATATTTTCAGCAACAGAAAAGTCATATTAAACGGAAATTGGCAAAGTCAAAGAATGAGAATTGACAAGGCATTGTATGTAATGGCAGATTGTTGCATAATATAGAAATATCAAGCATAATTAATAATCAACAAAAAAAAGTCAAATCTATATGAAAAAATCAAAATTAAAAACACAGCAAATTATGTGGAACATTATTGAACACTCTACAATATAGAAAGAAAAATAATTTGATTTCCCTATCATTATCAACACATTCAATTTTTACCAAGACATGTGTCTTTATATTAAAATCGATTTTTTGCGTAAAAGTTTTAAAAATAAAAATTCCTACAGATTCTTTTAAACATTAAACAAGAAATTCCTAATATGCGATAAATATATCTAAACAGGTTTGTTATAAACTTACCTAATATTTCTAAATTTTGAACAAAATACTAAAAAATTTGAAAAACTTCGGCAAAAGACTTTGAACAACTTCGAAAAGCGATTTTGAACAAGTGTTAGCAAAGCTTCACTTACTGATATGATGAGAAAGACGACAAAGAATTAAACTATTTAGTTTTCAAAATCTGAACAAAATACATAAAAGTTACATATGTATATTATAAACAGATATGAACATATATGTTATAAACTTACTTATATATTTGTTAGTAGAGCTGAACAGAACTGTTAGAAACTTACATATTTTTTCAAACCCTGAACAAAATACATAAAAGTTTGAAAAAGTTCGACCAATGTCATGTTCTCTTCGAAAAACGATTTTGAAAAACATCTAAATAATTTCGAATTATGTATAAAATATGATATATCATGAAGCTTATTCACAAAGAATTTCGAAAAACGACACAGATCATTGAAAATAATAAAAAATAAAAACTACGTTTAACAAAAAATATTTCAGCTCATCATAGATTTGTAATATTATCGCCCGATTTTGACCGATTTGTTAAGATTTAGCAACACAGATTAAGAAATCGAGACGAATATTTTATTTTTCGATCACTACTGTTGGTCACAAAAACAACATTTATCGGATGTCTTTTTTTTTTTAAGGCCTTTACCGGGAGAAAATCTCCGGTAAAACAGTTGTTTTGTATTGAATCTCGCCGAGTTTGTCGTAATATCGGGTTAAGGATTAGGATTTCAGACAGTGAATAACGAGAGAAGCGCCGACATCAAACAAAAAAAAAATGGCTTACATCACTTTCAAGGAGTTTATCTCTATTTATAGTCATGTTATCATTAACCTGTTTTATATTTGATTTTGGCTACCCTAAAAAATTAAGTGGACTTCTAATTTTGACTTTTTTTATCATTCAATCAATATATTTCTTTATGGCCCAAAAATTGTCATTTTGTTCAAATGTCTTAAATATTTGGTACATATTTATTTTGTAATATTTTGCTGTTATTTTTTTAGTATTTTTTCTTAAAAAATTTCCTATATGATCTATAGTACAAAATACAATAATTATTTAAACAATTAAAACCATTATATGTCTTAATTTGAAGATATGATTCGTAGTGATGGAAATTCTGTTGATAGAAAAACCACAAACGTTGTATATAAAGAATTGTTTAACAATATTTAGTTATTATTTCTTAGAACATTTTTTCAATAATTAGATTATGATTTTTACTATTGTTTATATATTATTATTATTTTTTGTTCTATTATATTGTTTTCCGTGCAAATGCACGGGTTAAAAACTAGTTTAAATTAAAAACTGTCCTTCACATACAACAAATCATCCATTTCAACCTAAGTCAAGAGAAACAAACACTGTAAACAGCATCAGTCAGTTCACAAACAAACTCAGATAGTTGCAAGGAAAAACCCACAAGTTTTGCTACAAACACACACACACACAAACATTTCACTCCTAAATCAACATAGCAGCAGCAGCTATACCGTCAAACTCAACCCTCAGATTCTCAATACTCTGCTTAGTTTCCTGCAGTCGAGCCCCAACAGATGCGATCTCCTTCTCCTTCCTCTCTTTAGCCAACTCCACCTTGGAGAGCTTCCCCTGCAGCTTTCGTACTTGCTCTTTCAGCTTCTCAATCTCTTTCTCTATCTCGGTTTTCTCAACCTGGTGGCCCAACATCTCACGGTTGAGCTCCCCCACCTTGCCTGCAAGCTTCGCCTCTTTATCCTTAACAGAGATAAGTTGAGCCACGCGAGCACGCAGAGTCACGACATCAAAACCATGCAGCTCCAGCTCAGCAAGTATCTCCAAGATATCGTCCATGGAGCTTTTGGCACTGTCGAACAGCAGCTTGCAAGTGGTTTCAAACACGCTGGAGAAGTTTACCATGTGAGCTATGGCCAGGCCCTCTCGCATGCTCTCCTTGACGTTTTGCAAAGGCTGGAAATGTGGGCTTTGCGGTAGAATACGAAAGGCGTCGAGTGACTCGATCGTTTTCCAGAGCAAACTGGTCTTTGCGAAAGGAAGCTTTTGGTGCTCGGTTGAAATTTGGATTTGGGTGTCTTCTCCTGTGGGCTCCGCCTCCTCGATCATCACTGCTGCAACTTCTTCTCCCTCTTTTTCTCCATTTTCTATGGATTGCTCGACAGCAATCACAGCAGAAAGCTCTAGCGAAAAAATAAAGTTTGTAAGGATTAAGGCTATTTTTGGTAACCAAATAAACTAAGCTTATAGCTTATTTGTTTAGCTTATAAGCTTCCTATATTCAAATAAGCTTAGTTTGGCAGGACAAAAAGCTCGAGCTTATCTTATAAGCTTCTTTGAGTAGCTTTTCAAATAAACTCGTTGAAATTTTTATTTCAGCTAGCTTATCATCAAATTTTACCAAACACTTTTATCATATTAGCTAGCTTTTCAGCTATAAGTTATAAGCTATAAGCTCGAAAATCACTTATACGCTATAAACTAGCTTATCAGCTAGCTAGCTAGTTTTACCAAACATAGCCCAAGTATTTTAAGGGTTTTTGTCATTTCCTGATGCAGAAAATATTTAATATTAATAAAATGTACTTGATCTATTGACTGCAGATGGAGATTGTATCCTCCTCCCTCCAATCCACATTGAAAGTGGTTGGTCGTCAAGCTCGATGCTGGGTGCTTCAGAATCGGCATTATTTTCTTTTAGTGTTGAGTTAACTTCGGCTGATTTCCCTCTGGATGCATTAAGGGAATCTACAATGCCAAAAAAGGAAAGGATGATTATCCGACAGCTAGTGGCACATGCACAGAGCAGAATAATAAACAAAAAATTATATAATATCTTATAATATTATAAGTATTGCCATTTTGCAGTCGGTCGAAAAATATACCCTAAGCTGGTGTTCCAAAAGATGGTTGGAGTTATTTCTGAATCACAAAGGATTTCTTTTACAATTACTCATTTCTTTAACTGCACTCAACAAATCCAATCACAAAACAATTAAATGAGACAATCAGGGTTCAAACTATAAGCCACAAAGGAACACTTTACCTTCAACTTGCAGTGAAATCATACTCCGTCTTCTTCCTCTTTTCGACACGTTTCTCTCCGGCTGCATAGACTCTTTAGCAACCTTCTCCTCACGCTTCCGAGGAGAGGTTCTTTTTGCAATTATTCCTCTTCTATCTTTGGGATTCATCGGACTAGTGCCCCCATCAAGAGTCATCTTCTCTGAGCTGTCCGTACCAATCGCCTCTACTTCAGTAATTCTATTACTATTATCATCTTTTGCATTTGAATCATCTGAACCAACAAATAATATTGCGTCATTTCCTCAAACATGGAATTTTTACGATATTTAACCCAATAGAGGGCAAAATGAAGAGAGGAGAAGCAAAAGGTGACCTGCCAAGGGAGTCTGAATACTTTCAGTCGGGGTCCTTCGTGGCCTCCTCCCCCTCTTTCTTTTCTCACTGAACTCTCCAAGTTCTAGTGGTTTGATTTCCTACGGAAGGCATAAAAAAATGATATGTAGAACAAAGAATATATTGATAAGGTTCAAAATTGAGAATGATCTGGTGGGCAAAGTACTATGCAAAGAAAATCTCTCTCGTCATCAGTGTCAGTTACCTCAATTTTCTTAGTGGAATCACATAAATTTCGTTTCTCTTTGTTATTCATAGTTCCCTTGCTGTTAGCACTGCAGCTCCTCCCACCCCGCGACTTTCCAAGGCCAGAGATTACCATTTCCACACATGGCAAACCTATAACAATAACAAGCTCATTTTGATGATTTGCAGTCTTATCCACTACATCTGGCTTCTTTCCTGAAAATGAATTCCCAAGTTGCCTCTTAATAACATAAAATCATACGGGCATTTTTAAGAAGACATTACTATACGAGAAAAAGAGAAAAATATATACCCCCGACACCAGGCTGCATATTTTCAACCTCACTGGTCTGTGCAGTGCTATTTTTCATATCACGTGGTGGTGTGGAATTCATCTGGTGCGCAACAATTTGCCCTCTCCGCTTCACGATTTCCAGATACAAATGCAGATATCAAATGATCAATACATGTAGAAGCAAAAAATAGAAAGTATAAGTGGATAAATGTTCCACCATATTTTTCAATGATACATCTTTTATTTCCTGAAAATTATAATGTAAAACTCATCCACTAAGCATAAGAAGATGTTTGTGCATAGTCCAAACAGAAACCCCACTTATGAGCTCTGTGAAAAACAAATGATCTATGAAACTTACGATGCTAAAAGGCTAACCCAATCAAATAAAACATTCCAATAAACGTAATATGCAGCCGCTGCCCATGGCCCACATAGACAATCTCCAAATGCCCTCTTAAATTTGATTAACTGATAATAAAAAGGTGTTGTGACAGATTATTAGATGGAAAAATAACCCAGTGTTTAAAACTTATAACCTTTCGTGACTTCGTCAAGAATTGATAAAACTATGGGACATAACAGGCAATGAGTAGAAAGTATGACTTACAGTTCTCATTCCCCAGGAAGGACTATCCGATGAGAGATCCCCTGTGACACTTTGTTTTGTAGGGGTTTCTACATTATTCACCAATGCTGGGCTAACAGAATTGCTCAACAATTTTTCAGACATCCTATCATGTTTCTCCTGTTGTTTCTCTACAGGTACAAGTCCTTCTTTGAGCTTCTTCTGGCATTGAGAGAAAGCATTTTGCGAATCAGATGAACGCCTTCTTCTTTTTGTCAGAGGTGTTACATGAGGTCCTTTCTGGAAATCTGGTGTTAATTGCTCCACTTGATCAATTCCCGATGTCAACATAGAGGAAACCTTTTTACGTAATGTGTTTTCTCTATCACCAAAATTGTTCACTTGAAAAGTTAGCACAGACGCATTGGAACTTTCAGATGTGTGGTGTTCATCCATTCCACCATCTAAAGTCTGGATCATGACATCCTGAATAGTTTAAGGACCACATAAAATTCCTCAATTCAGCAACTTTTCAGAATCATAGGGAAAAAAATAAAACAACCCCCTGGCGGGCACAAGTACGCAAAGAGTCAGACTCACAGATTGCTTGAGCACAAGAATTTTGCGAATGCATGACAAAATGAATTTTAACATCTGTCTCACTCTACAACTCTCCATTCATTCAATATCTCCCTCAATTGTTATAAGTAGTATGATACGATTACTCAATCAAGAAGCAGCTTGCTATTTTCAACACTCAACATGCTTAAAAATGAGGATGAGTGCAAAGTGCATGGCCTCGGGTAAGATAATTTGTTGTACTGATTTATCAAGCAACAAAAATAGTTTAAAAGCTACATGCAGATAAAGACATCTTCAATAAACCGCTTTTAAAAGGGATTACGATAAGGAAAAGCTAGAAAAGACATACACGGTATGATCAGAAACAAAAGGAGAAATTGTAGAGTGATCAGAAAGAACCTGGGGAGAAGTGAACCATTTGCCATCCTTCCACTCCATATGAGATCTTAATTCTGAAAGATGGAAATCCCTTTCCATATTCAATTGTTTAAAGGTGACAAGATATCTACTATTCTCAAGCTCTCTCCGAATAAGTCCACTCCACCAACCACAATCAAAGTATGCATCAACTTTTCCCAATAAAACAAAATTCTTATCCTTGAGGAGCGGAGGTCGCGGCCTAAGATGGAGGGAATCGACTTTTATTTGATGAGATTGAGCCTTGGGATCTTGATTTTCAACGTTTACCAGATACATTCCATTACCCAAATGTTGGTGAATTGTTGCTCGGAACCAAGCATCCTGACCATCTTCTCGGTCAAACGACACTTCGACCTCTTTTTTCAAGTCAAACATCAACCCTGCAATACTCTACACCAAATTCAAAAACAACAAAGTAATCTTATAACCAACCAACATTTACATGCATCGATGAAAGCTCATCATTACCTAGTTCACTTCACACATTCTGTAAAATCAAAGCATTTCAATTATACATGTAACAGGAAAGTTATATCTGATTCTGATCCCACGACCATAGACTGGGCATATCTGCAGAGTGCTAAGCGAGCTAATGCCATCATTTACAAAGTGGGAATTTACAGAATCGAGCTCCAAAAGCTAATGAAACATCAAATTTCAAAACAAAAAATCATCACTCCAAATACCTTGCGGAACCTCATGAAAACATTACAAAGCTATCTCAAACAAAATAAGGCAGCAAGAACTAATTTGGAGACGTGAAGTAACACGTCCCAGATTAAAACAGCATCCCCAAGCCTGACACAACAATTACCAAATCAAGTTCTCTTCAGACCTTTTAAACGGAAAGGCAAAAATGGTGGACAAAAAGAACAAAGTCATGAACTTTGAACATCAAAAGCTCTGAATTTTGATTTTACCTGCCTGTCGGGTCGGACCCAACTCCCATTAACCCAATCCCAGTGAACCCTAAGTTCAGACAAGCCGAACTCCCGTTCGTCAGGCGGGTTTGGAAACGTCACGACGTACCTGTTCTCCGCGCCTTCCTCCACCACTCGAGTCACGATACCAATCCACCAGCCGTCCTGGTACAGAGCGTCGACGGCGTCGCCCGGCCCGAATCCCCCGACGGCCTCCTCCAATGGCGGTGGCGGCCTCACGCATGAGACGTCGACGTACTCCCTCAGCAGCTTCGATCTACCTCTGCCAGCCAACAAATTCCTGTACTCCACTTGGATTTTCCCCGAATTTCTACCGCCTGATGATGTCACGGTAGCGGAGAAAAAGGTGTCCTTGAGGCCTGCCTCGCGGGTTCGAACTTCAACTGAGGCGCGTACGGGGAAGGGACCGGGATGGACTCCGGCGCGGCGGTCGCCGTCACGGAGGTGGTGGTGGGAAGACGATGGGGTTCTGTTGGAGTGCGGTCTGAGTAGTGAATGCGTGGCATCACCGCCCATTTTGTGAGGGAGGTTTTAGGCAAGGGGCTTATTGGTCAGTTTTGCAGTCTCACACACCCTCCAAATCCCTACAAAAAGCAAGCCCTAGTTCTTCCAACTTTCCCTCTTTTAATTCTTTCTTTTTGAAGAATTAATTTTTTGTGTTGATAAGCTTGCACTTTTGTTTGTATAGCTTTGGAATGTTTTGATGTTTTCTTATGAGTTTTTATGTTACACTTGTATATTTATACACGGTAAAAAGTAACAATCCATCACAACTCTTTGATGAGTCATTTTTTACGTTATGGGTCTGCTCCATGTAATTAGTTTTGTAATTGGTGAGTCCGTTCATATTGAGTGATGTGAACCAATTCAGGGCGACAATCCACTTCACATAAGAAGACGAGATCAGTACGAAGAATGTCTGTTCTGAGATGAGATCGGCGTGAAGGAAACTTCACGCCCTTATCAATATCCATGTTGAGATGTTGGCGCAAAAGGAACTAAAATTGATACAAAATAGTTTTGTACTTAAGATCAGCATTTGTGTGGAATGTCGATGTGACTTCATAACATCAACAAGACCGATTTTATGAAGACTTGACTAACGTAATTACTGAAGATATAACATCATTATTGTCTTCATTGTCCACGTCGACATCATTAATTGAATTAAACCAAATCGACCAAGATCATCCATAACTAGTTGTATGTTAAGAACTCAACTCCGATAGAATCGAATACTTCGTTAGTGTATACACGTTTATGGAATTTTAACATTTTATTCCATCATTTTAGTGGC